GCTCATCAGAAAGCGCATAATCGCGCGCGTCCATCGCGAGCATTAGGCAGCGTCCACCAGCGACCAACAGCGTCCACCAGCGTTCCGAGCGTCCGGCAGCGTCAGCGACTAGAAAAGTATAGATATCGATCTAGCGTCTGCCAGCGTCTACCAGCGTCCCAGCGTCTCGAGGGCTAGGGAAGTATAGATATCGATTTAGCGTATGCCGACGTCTGCCGGCGTACAACAGCGTCTATCAGCGTCCGGGAGTGGAGAGTATGGTGCGGTAGGAGGGTATCAGTTTTTGCTACTATCGCGTCATTCATTTTACCGGCAGTCTGCTACCCTCCTATCGCGCCATATTCTCTACCAGCAGTCTGCTAGTGGACGCTGGCAGACGCTAGATCGATATCTATACTTCCTTGATGCTGACGCTGCCGGACGCTCTGACCGCTCTTGAACGCCATTGGTCGCTGGTAGACCCTGCCGCAATGTATGTATGCACACCGACTTGAACATCACTGGAAACCTTATTCACGGCGGCGCAAATGAGAACTTCTCTTCATTTAAGCTACTTATCACGGTTTTATAGACCAAATGTGCGGTCAACTCGTCAAAAAACGATGACAATGGATTCTTGTGGCACTCATGAGCTGAGGAGATTATTCGCTGAGGCGAGAGTGAGTCGAAAGCCTCAAAACTGCTTTTTGAATATTTAAAAATACTATTAGGTTGTGGTGATTCAATGGACAGCGCTTACTCATAAAAACATTTAGCAAGCCGGTACGTCGTTGGAAGAGCTGGAAGCAAAAATGGTCGACCTATTCCGTACGAAAGAAGGCGAAATGAATGGACGTCTTGCTAAGGTACAAGCCGGTCGATGGACTGCTTCTACTTCTTTTTTTAGCGAGAAATTGGTTGACTGCCACTGATTTCCACGTTTCAAAATATTTTTTACAGATCATGGAGCAAATGGAACAAATGGAAAAGCACGATCATACCAATAATGAAGCCAATCTTTTGGTCTATAGAAGATTGGTTGAAGAATATCAGACGATGCTTGAAGAATTGACGTCCGGAGCATGTTAGTGAAGTTTTTCAGATCTCTCTGGGCATTCACAGTGCTGTACTTTTCAAGATCATTTTCATCTCCGTGCAAATGTGTGGAGGATTTTTAGCACCAGCAATATGTAACAAGTGAGGTGGGGGGGTGAGGTGGTGGTTATAATCCGGCTTAGGTTATCTGGCTGGGATTTTCTCGACGTTAATTATCACTATCATGACAACAAAAACAGATATCCTGGGAAGATTCGGCTCATAAAGTCATGACGATCCATGGGTGTTATTCTCACATAGAATAGAGAAAACCTATGACTGCGCATGAGTGTCACATGATGCGTAATGTATCGGTTAGGTCTCCTATCTCTTTCAGCTCTCTGAGCACAACTGACTGTTGGAAAGGAGAAGAGCTACATAGTCATTTTTTCACAGCTACATTTCATCTTTAACAGATTCGCTTGTTCAGATATTCATGTGGGACGCCTGGAAGAACATGGATACATGAAGAATGGCAGCTGCGGAGGATCATGCAGAGCGTCCGCGTAAGTATTTAATCCTTCACTTTTTAGTTGCTCTAGTTGGTCATCAGCGCATAGAATGATAATCAATAAGTAGCAGACCCTGGAGGAACACGCTAGACCCCTCCTAACCTATCATTTTTCAGAAATGCGCGGGGAGGTGGTAGAACCAGCTGTCACGAGTCTGTAAAGACGGGTCCATAATTTGCTCTTTCACTGAAGAGTGCGAATGAGGAGCCTTTGCGAGAGGAAAGTGTGAGTCCGCAGAAAGCGCGCAAAGCAGAGTCTGAGTATTGACCTGGAAATTTCAATAGTTGGGAAAATAAGAAAATCGGGTGAGCGCGCCTGTAGAGGATTGGCTGGGAACGGGGTACAGCATCGTCAGGAGAACCTAACTGATGTCACATTAGTCGCTGGTAGGGAGTCGTATATTGGTCCGAGAAGGAATTTCCTCTGAGCTTTGAAACGAAAAATTCCTTGTTTGTGTTGATGTGTTGCTTTTTGTAATATGCTTTGCAATAAATGAGAAGGCGCGAATCGAGTACCGCTTGGAAGAATTTTTGCGAACAATTGGTAGGGAGTTACAAATGAATTGGCGGAGGCAAGTAGCATGGGAAAAGGAGGTCGTTCCAGAGAAGGAAACTTCGAGGGAGCCGTACTGACATCGCCAATGGATTCATCCTGATTCTGTCCCTTGCTAGGGAATTGATTTGCTCCGCTCACTCGCACCTATAGAGAATATGCGAAACGGGCGAACGCATTTCATCAGTAGGGCGTAAGCCATGGTTGATCCCATTTAATCTTTTATCGCGCGTTTTTGGGCGTATTCTCCGAAATCACGGGTTCTTCACAATCGCGAAGTATAAACTCGGTTAAAACTCGGTCGTCTTGTATGCTCACTATTCATCGGCCGTTGTAGAGGGACTTGGGCTCGATGGATGGGGACGGGCAGATACTGCCAACGTCATTGGTGGAAGGGCTGCAAGAAGGCATTTGGCCACATCACACTCGCCCTTCCACCAATGTGGTCGGCAGTAACCACCCGCCGCTAGGCATCGTGCCCACTGCCTTGAAGCATAACCCGTTTCCATGACCGGTCGGCGCAGCGGCCTCCATTGACAAACCTTTCCGGACATTTGGGTATTCATGAATTTGCAGAATATGGCCCATAAGCTGTGCCGAACAGGAATTGTTGGGGGTCTTTATGAAGAGCAATGGGGCTGAAAAGCTTTTTTGGCCTAGACAGAGTTCTGCCTGAAACTATATTTGTTTTCTGTATTCGAAGGCAGTTCAAATATGATTCATTTGAAGGGAGCGAGATTCAATCAAAGCGGAGCTCGATTCCATGCACGAAGACTACAGCAAGATCTATGACATGTACAAGAAACTGCGTAAAGTAGCTGAAGATCAAAAGCTCGTATGTTTAAAAAACTTCTTTTCAAAGCTAATTGACTCTTCGATCATTTGGGAGCTTTCAGGAGTATAGTGCATTGTACGAGAAATATGTTGAAAAAGTCGAAGAAGGCAAACGTATGCAAGGAAAGATGAGCCGATTGCGGGAGGATGCTCAGAATAAGCTTGAACGGTCAGTGATCACAATTCAGAATTCCGCATATGCTATCGTCCATCACGGGATCGTATCAAGCACCAGGTTATGATTTATTCGTGAGTTATTCGTTAACTTTCAGTGCTTCCAAAGATGTACAAGATTGCCTTCGCGAACGAGATGAGAGCTTGCTTGGATTACGACTGAAAGTTCGTCAGTTGGAAATGGATTTGAAAACAAGTCAGCATGAATTGGAAATAAAGGTTAGTCATTTTATTGAGAATTTTTTTTGGAATAAGTCTATCTTCTGCAAAACCATGCACTTAGCCGTCTGGTTCCTTACCCAAAGACAGTCGGGACGATAAATCTTTAAGACGAGTAGGATTAATACGCCTGGCAGGACGGAATCCCGCGCTCCTGAGTAGGCGCTGCGTGGCACCTTTTCCAGGGAGGGTGCCCTTATAAAGCCCTATCAAGCTACAACATACCGACCCGAACGCCCACCGCGCCCGCCCGCCCACAAATGGACGACCGTACCTGATGCTCGTATTGCTTCATTGCTAAGTAAAATATGAAGCGAAGGGATTGATATGAAGCGGCGGCGGTGCTGCATGCAGGATACAGCATCGTTGTGTGAAACTAGTAGGATGGTGTCGCACTTGGCCACTGGGG